TGTAAAAGGGTTGAACACTAAACATGCAGTATGTCTAAAAATAGTAGGGTCATAACCTCTTTTAATAAAACGTTTAATGATTTTAGTAAAAACAGCAGAAAAATTACCATGACCCAAAATCTTACGAAGTTTGTAAATCACATCGCCATAAAAACCAGGCTGGCTAATCCCTTGTCGCAGAAGAGTTTTTAAATCACTATTGAATTTAGAAAATTAAATCAAAGTTACGATTGTAAAATTTAGTACAATGTTTCCGTAATTTATGATAGCGGTAGCCCTGTTTCAGAAGCTTGCTGGTAATAAAAATATTCCGCTCGTTGAAATCCTGCTACAAGCTCTAGCGAATCTAATTAACTGAGAAAACCATAAACCCCGTAAGATGTTGCATGGGGTACGTCTCCATCTAAATGTGGATAATTAACTATCCAAAAGTCAAAGTCATCTCTTTTATCATAGATTTTCGTGTGAATAGAATTGTTGTTGATAGTAATATGCAGATCCAAAAATGATGTACTAAACATTTCAAGAATTCGTTTTATTAAGTTGTAGTTCATGCGGATAAATAACAGACACCATTTGATCAAAATAAGGATTATCTAAATTAAAAATATCATCAAGGTATCTGGAAGTATTATTAAATGCGACTATAACATCTTGTTGTTTATCTTCAGAGAGACTCAACATAAAGTCACTTTCATAGCAGTACAAAAACAAATCGGCGACCAGGGGTGCACAATTAGTACCCATAGGAATTCCTATGATCTGTTTAAATAGGGTATTACCAAACCTGACATAAATGTTGTCTAAAAGAAAAGAGAGTGCTCTACAAACTTCGTCACAGGTCCACATAGTATAATGTTTAACAATACCGTTAGTAAAAAAAAGCTTTGTTTAAAATTGCATGCTAGAACGGTAACTTTTTCCCATGCAAAAGTTTTCTGAATTAGGGAAATTAGTTTATCATTGATTAATTTATGTGGCAAAGTTGTATAAAGTGTAGAAAAATCGTTTGTACTGACAGTTGAAGCTTGAATGTTCTTAATTTTAAATTTATCCAAGATTTCACCAGAATTTTTAATTGACCAAAAGAGATGTTTGCCTGTGTTTTCATAGACTTTATCACAATATCTAATTACATGTGTTTTAATGGCAGTCAAACAAGACGTCAATAAAATAGAAAGTTTACTTGTAGTGCAAGATGTAGAATTAGTAATGAATCTGGCTTTGTAAGGTTTTTTTTATGTAATTTAGGAATCCAATACATAATAGGAAGTTTGAGTTCTTGTTCATTAATTTGGACTTTAAGATTGGAAATATTAGTAATATGATTGTTAACAATGTTTTTTCGGAGGCAGAGCTTTTAGAATACGCATTAGTACTATTTAGTTCCTTATGCAAAACATTAATGTAATGGATTCGTCATACAATTATAATATTATTAGCGGCCTTGTCCGCTGGCACCAAAACAAATTTTGAATGAAAGGCTAGAATTTTTTTTTCAGATGTCTTAAAGTAAGTCTTGGTTTAGGTGGCAAAAGATGTTCATTTCCACGATGAAAATTAATACGTGAATCAATAATTTTAAAGATGTTACGTTTCCATGTAACTAGAGCATTAATTACTATCCGCATTTTCACGGCGACACCATTTGACCGAGAAATCCTCTATAGATTCAGCAATCTGACCACGACAAGCATTAAAATCAATCTCAGAAGAAATTCTGTATTTAGGTCCTTTCAAGAATAAGTTACGAATTCTTTTGTCTGCAATTATATCAAAATTACCTGTGATTATATGGCCAAAATCTGAATTACAGAATTTAGAAGTATTGCAGTCTCAAGTTGTTGGAGTATTAGACTGAATATCTAAGTCAGAAACCACTTTGTTGTAATTAAATATGATATTTCTAACAGGTTTCTTATATTTATAGCAAATAATTGGTATCTCGGAGTTTTTTGAAGTATAAAGGAACAGAATTAGTGACACGTTTATCACGAAAAATACTTGGTAAATCGATGAAATCGATACCTTTATTAAGAAAGGTTACTTTTACGAAATGCCTGTTGTGGTCAGAAGTGTTATCGATATGAGGTCTTAAGACGTGCTGAGTATAACTTTGAATAAGATAAGCTGCTGTATATAAAGGATCTGTTTGAATAACTATACTATCTGCCTCTGCGTCTAAGATTTTCAGAGATGATAATGAAAGGGAAGTAAGACATGATAACATTGCATGTTTTCCAGAGTTTTTTAAGATAATATTTAAGTCGGTGACAGACAGGGTAATTTTAGATTTACGTTTGATGTTGCCATTTCTACGTACTCCGTGAGATCGGGATTTACGTTTACGAATATTCAGAATAGAAAATATATCAATGTTTGGATCTTTAGAGATGTTACCTTGTTGAAAAATATTGTCATTTAGGCCAAGTGGAAAAGGCGTTTGTAAGTTATTGATCCATTTTAATTCTGCTAAGTGTCTAGCTTTAACTTTAAAACTAGCAGAAGCATCAGAATCAAAATTATTTGTTCCACTGGTTGAATTGAAACATTTTTAAATGAATGACCATCTTTACGAAAATGTTGATATAGAAAAGTTGTAAATTTTGTTGCGATTTCTCATTTTATAAAAATGTTCACGGAATCGAATTTTAAGAGAACGTCCTGTCTGACCAACATACTGTATGCCACACCCAGAGGTGTTTAAAGTCAAAACATAAACAAAATGAGTTGCCTTTCAGTCAATATCTGTATTTAAAATAATATTAAAAGTTCTCCCATTTACATTAGAGGTTAATGTAGACCTGTGCGATAAAAAGTAACAACATCCGCACCTCTTAGAATTACACTTATTAATAGAAGGATACACTCTAGCTCTATGAGGATAATTAGTATGTGTGATATTATATTTCTTAAGAATGGTGTGTTTTATAGGAGAAAGCCTAATGCGTAAAGAATTATTGAAAATATTAGAATTAATGGATCGTGGAATATAAAATGAATTAACAGATGAAAAGTTTTAAGGCGAAAGAACGACGGATGGTGTTCGTCTAGGTGTACTGTGATTTCATATCTGTAAAGAATTAGTAGACGTAGAATGTACCCGAAGAGGTGAAAGAAAGTGTGTATTGTTTCTATTCAAGTTATTCATAATTACATGTAGTAATAAAATGATTCCGTGTCCAGTGGGGCACCAATATTAAAGTAACGAGACTAGAGTATTAGTGCCACAGCTAGTGTACACACAACCTGCAAAAGGGTAAGATTAAAGAAAACTTTGGTATAAAAATATAATAAAGTGGAAATAAATATAAACCATTAGTCTATGAAGGCTGGACATGGAGGGGGACACCGACACTGAACGCCGTAACAATCCCTTGAGGATGGAAATATAACAACATTGATTGCATGTACGGGGAGACTTTTTACAGCCGCCACACGGCACAAACAACATGGTTGTGAGCATAAAATATGATAAACAAGATCAACAAGGAAAGGCGGCGTTCAATGAACGCAACCCCCATATGACCCAGCAATAAGAACCAACGGCAAGGAGCCCAGGCGGACCCACTAAAATTACCCACTTTTATCTCCTCACAAATGACAATGCCCCTTTCTGTGTAGGTTGTAATGAAAACCATTAGGCCTTCGTTTAAAAGATGATTTAGATAAACTTAAGATTAACCCAGACAGTATCTTTCAAAATGACGATGCGGATGTTCCACCTTGGACTTATAATTCCCCGAAAATAAATATTAACCTTTCAAATATAAAAAAGTCATCAAATTCACCTGAATATTTCAAAGAGAAGTTTCTAGCAATTTAGGAAGATTTTATACATATTTATACGGACGGTTCAAAAGAAGGTTGCAAAGTAGGTTCGGCTGTGTTTGAAAATAATTTTACATCTAGTATGAGGCTACTAGTACCAGGTAATGCATTCATTTTACTACTGAAGCAAAAGCTATCGATTTAGCATTGTCATACATAGCACAGCATACCCACGATAAATTTGTGATATTTTCTGACTCGCTTTCTGTTTTAATATCCATTAAAAATAAAAAGTCTGACAATATCATGATAAAGAAACTTCTTTTACGATTTCATGATATACTTAAAACAAAATTTGTTAAATTATATTGGATTCCAAGTCATGTAGGTATACGAGGAAATGAAAAAGTAGATGCTTTAGCTAAACAATCATTAAATTTTCAAAAAACTGACTTATTATTACTTGCTTGTGATTTTAGACCGGCTATAAATAAATTCGTCTCATCTGAATGGAAAGCAAATTGGGACACGATAAACTTCACGATATAAACCCATCTCTTGATGTGTCACCATCTCTATCTCTGTCAAACCGCCGTGATCAAACAGTTCTTCTTCGATGCCGAATTGGACACACTAAAATTACCCACTCTTATCTCCTCACTAATGACAATGCCTCTTTCTGTGTAGGTTGTAATGAAAATTTTACTGTCAAGCATTTTCTTCTTGAATGTCATGATTTTTCACAGACCCGTACTAGATTTTATTCTGTAAATTCACTCAAAGAACTCTTTAATACAATTCCATCAAAAAACATCATTGATTATTTGAAAGAGATAAACTTGTATTCTAGGATCTAATTGGCTCATTTCTATTGTCATTTACAAAGTTTTACATAACATTTTAAGCCATTATAGCATTCGGCACGATATGGCCAGTTATGTGTTGACGTGCTGTAAATCCAAACAAACAAACAAACAAACAAACAAACATAGAAAGACATGTCAGGGCTGCAAGGGTATGAGCTCAAATAAAGCAGTAAATTAGATGTCAATTGAGTGATAATACTTTAGTTATAAATGGTTCTCCATGTTAAAGCATATTAATGTGAATTAAGCATATACACATTGAACCTCCAGCCTTGGGTTAATTTATTTGAAATCACGTTCTTTCAAAGTGTGATTTCACATGTCAGCTTTATTACTGTAAGTAAGACATATCTGGACAAGACAATGGGGTCACTGTCTTTAAGCGGTAAAATAAGTATCGTAACAGGTGCTACTCGTGGAATTGGTAAAGCAATTGCTATCCAGCTTGGTCAACAAGGTGCCAAGGTTTATATTACCGGAAGAACATTGAGCACTCAAGATGGCGTATGTTTACCAGGATCGCTAGAGGAGACAGCACGTGACATATTACGCGCTGGAGGAGGAGTTTGTGTACCAATTCAATGTGACCATTCGAAAGATATTCAACATTTATTTGAACGCATCACAGCAGAAAACGACGGGAGGCTCGATATTTTTGTCAATAATGCGTTTTCGGAAAATGATATCCTTTTGAAGGAGCGAGGAAAACCATTTTGGGAACAGTCGTTGAACATGTGGGACGATATAAATGAGGTCGGGTTGAGAAATAACTATGTGTGCGCTATCTACGCGTCTAAATTGATGGTACCACGTAAGAATGGCGTCATAATAAATGTGTCGTCTGCTGGGGCTTCAATGTACATGTTGAATCCTGCATATGGGATTGGTAAAGCTGGTGTTGATCGCATGACAGCCGATTGTGCCCTGGAACTGAGGAAGCATAACATAGCCTTTGTTAGTTTGTCGCCCGGTCCTTTGAGCTCAGACACTTTAATGGCGTTGTCAACAAAATAACATAACTGAAAAATGTTATAAGAAACGACGCCCTGTCACTGGTTTAAGCATATTCGTCTTCTACAAGACAATGCCCCGCTCATACCTCCGCAATAGTTTCGGCGTTTTTGAAAAAAGAAAAAATGACTGTTAATTTTGCCTCACCCCCGTATTCTCCAGACTTTGCCCAATGTGATTTCTTTTTGTTTGCGAAATTGAAATCCTTCCTTGCTGGGCGAAAATCCGACAGGCACTTGGATCTGCCATTCATCAGTACCTTTTTACTGTGCTCAAATCAGCGTACCGTGTCGCCTTCAAGAAGTGGATACATCGACTGAAACTTTGCATTTCTTGCCAGGGGGAGTACTTCGAGGGCTTGAAATGAACACTTTTAAGCTGACATGAAATTTGAAGTCTCTAGATAGAAATAAGCAATACATTTCGAACATTCCTTGTAATGCACGCAAGGGCACCTCAGGTCTTCCTCCACCAGTCAAGCTGGAAGGAACGTCGCCATATGACCTATAATGGGTCGGTGTGACGTAAAACCCAAATTAACAAACAATAAACAAAACATAGCCAAAAGGACACAATTAAAAGACCTTATAAGCATTACTAGTTGGAAGTTGCTTGTCCATATCATAAAACTTCCTGATTACATTGACTTTAGCTTTGAAGAAATATAACATATGTCTGTTATTGTATGTATCAATATCTGATTAATAGTCATTCTCTTTCTTCTGAAATTCCTTTGTCTCTGATAATCATGAACCACAATCTCATTCCGTACCGCTAATGATGCCCTTTAACGACATAATATTAATTCTGGTGTATATGTTATGTGACCATTAGCCCCTATTTGTTAACATATTTTCTCATTTATTATATAAGACCTGGCCTTTGTGAACAATACAAAGATAGTATCCTGTTATACTTAAACTGGGCATTTGCAAAAACAGCTTTATCTGACTACAAACATAGTGAAAACATGAAAGTCATAATGACTGTGAGGTTGCGTTAAAAACTTATGCAAAGTACATGAACCATGCCTTTCGTGAATTTCAATTTGACTATGGTGCCTATTAGAAGATAACGATAGCATAGAAATTCTATAACAGGTCCGCAGGTCCCGATCCTGTAAAGCATTCACTAAAGCTATGCAATCATTGGTTTGCATGATAAAGGCTTGACAATTTTGTATTAATTTTGTTTATGCAGACTCTGAGTTATACATACATATATAGGTTATTCTTTATTTATTTAATTTGACTTTCTGAGTGCAACAGAGCTAGGTGTCCCATCTTTGACTAGCACTTAGTCATGATATTAATATGTTATATGTTGCAGTTTGGATAAGAATATCCGTCGCGAAGTAACCAGCCTATTTGGTGAGTAACGATGCTTGCCGAGATGCTGGTAATGGGCGGGTATCAAAGAGACGGATATTTCTATTTCCATCTGATTCGCAAATACATGTCAAGTGTTTCCGTAAAACTAACCTGCGGTGCCAGATTAAGTCGCGTGCTTTTCAATGGCGACATTTTAGCACACTTTATGAATAACCTCCGTTAAAATGACTTCATTTTTGGGCATTTTTGAAGTACTAAGAATAACATATAAAATGTAATGTTTTTCGTTATGATTTAGGGTTTAACAAAGAAAGTAAATACACAGTATGATTCACTACTGCTCTTATTCTATTTTCAAAGGCCTTTTATTTTTGGTGTACTTATAATTTCCAAATAGTTTCTCATTTGCTAATGACCTGGACCATTTTGTTTCTTCTGTTGCCTTTGGCAATCGCACTGTTATAGTGATTTGGTATTTTGTATGGAAGTCAAAATACTACTTGGTTACATTTTGATTCCTGTATGACCAATGTGGTCACATCTAGCGCTACATTTCTCAAGCAACAATAATCTAATAGCTTACGTTATTAAAAATTCACATATGCCGTTTTTAAAGAAGTAAACATTTATTCATTTCTGCGGCATAATGTGCCTTTAAATAAACTTTTCAATGGTGTAATAGAGATTAAATTCATACAGAATATTAACATGTGTCACCCATCGTAAGAATATTTAACGTATAGTTTACCTTCATGACATGTTCTAACATGAAATAAGTACATATAACATACATATTGTTTTTCCTACAACAAAAAATGGTCATTTCTGCATTTACTTTACGCTGGACCTTTTAAGCTCACCGAATTACTAGTAGCATGTTAGCAACTGAACTTACAGATCAATAATCATCCGTTGAGAAAAGTGAAATTTTTTGAACATGCTTGAAATCTTGCCTAGTAAATGATAATTTGATTCGAGGAATAGTTTATTTACAGATCGTTACGTTTTTAGTCAGATTAATGCTTTTTACCTCTTACAATTGTATTCTGTTAGATAGTAGTGGGGCTGTTTAAAATTCTCTCTTGCGATGAAATATGGACTTTAAAAAAATTCAGTCGTACTAAGGTTTCTTTTACAGAATTTACCAACTAAAGGGTCAAATGCAAGAGCGCCAGGTCATTGTTGTTGGACAATATTGAAAGGCATATTGTGGTAAACATCCAATTTCAATGATCTGCCTATTTGTAGACTTATACACCACAGAGCACATTATGAAATATGAAATATTACCAGGTATGATCAAAATGTTACGGCCTCTTATACTTCTAGCCACTACGTACACTGACATTCAACAGAATTAATACGTCGATACCGAGATAACTGACCGAGATACACGCGGTTTTACACAGATTAAGTAACATAAAACACACTTTGATCAGTAGAGGGGTGTGTCATTTAGACCAAATGGAGAAAGTTGGAATCAGAGCCGTCATTAAGTATCTCTGTAAGAAAGGAATGGCCCAAGGAAATCCATAAAGACTTTGGAAGGAGTCCCCTTCCTATAGCAATGTGAGAAAATGGGCTGCTGAATTTAGGAGGGGCAGGGAGAGCATTGGAGATAATAAGCGGCCTGGGCGGCCAAAAGAGGCCACCAACGATGAAACTGCCAAAGCTGTGCACGATCTGGTGATGTGCATCAGAACGCGAGACCTGCGAACCATTGCTAGGGGAGTGGGTATAAGCTTTGGTTCAGTTCTGGCAATTCTGACTGATGTCCATAGCATGTCAAAGGTTTCCGCTAGATGGATCCCAAGACAGTTGACTGACGACAAGAAACGGACCAGGCTTGACATTTAAAGATATATTTTGTCTCGCTACGAGGATAACCTGATTTTATCTACCCGATTGTAACTCAGGTGATAAACATTGGTCCAGCACTTTGATCCAAAAATAAACAGAGCATGCAATGGAAGTACCCGGCTCACCCGCCTCCGAAATAAATTCAAGAAGGTTGTCATCTGCAGGGAAGAAGATGGCTGGATAGTCAGGGATAATCATGATTGACTATCTTGAGCAAGGTCGTATTATAAACGTTACGTACTATGCAGACGAATTGAGACGTCTGCGTCAAGAAATTGCGCGTAAAAGGAGGGGCAAACTGACACAAGGCGTTCTGCTCCTGCACGACAATGCGTGCGCCAACTCACACATTCCAAGATGCGATGGCTGCTGCAACCCATCCCCATCCCCCATATTCTCCGGACTTGGCCCCCTCTGACTTCTACCTGTTTCCGAAACTGAAAACCAAGCTTCGTGGTAGACGTTTTGGAAGCAAGAAAGGTGTCATGGAGGCGGTCAATTAGTTCTTTGAGGACCAAAATCCAAGCTCAACTTGGGGTAATATTCCTATATCGAATATAAGTTTTCATTACAGAATGATACACAAAATATATTTATTGTTTTATGGAAGTGATCTGTTATTATGTTGATGATTTCTACATCATGCACCTTTGGATCTCTTCAGCATATATGTACATATGTACTTATATATTTTCAGTCAAATCTACGGACCTTTAATTGTTCTTTTAGATTGGCTCTTCAATTACAAAATGAAAGTGATCCGTAGATGGTTTCCGTTATCACTCGTGGAGATCTTCAGCACATATGGAGCTGAAATGGAATTTTGATCGACAATTCCTTTATTTTGAGCCCAGTCTCAATAAATGCTTCAATAAGGGGTTTGTTTGAATGTTTAGCATCTTTTGGTTAAAAGTCTGTATCTGGAGTCCGTTTAGCGAAGGTTTCTTCATACGCATTGCATATTTTGGGCACACCAGAACCCATGTCGGGAAGAATATCTCGATGAAGACTACATAAAAATTCAAACAAAAATGGGTAAATACAGAGGAAAGCCAGGAAAATTGGACCGCATTTCGTTTTCTGAAAATAAGAATTGTTTAAAACGATAAAAGCTTACCCTGTGATTAACCTATTTTCTCCTTCTCATATCGAGATAAAGCGCATTCATAGATCACCGAAAATTCACATATATCTTCACCGATGCTCAATTTTGAGATACATATGGTGTTTCACCCCCCCCCCCTGTACACAGACCTGAATCATGACTTAGAGACCACTACTAACACAGTGAACATGACTATCAGAGCACATCTCTCACAGTGGACATGACTCTCGGAGCACTTCTCACACAGTGAACATGACTTGTGGATCACTATTCACACATATAACATTACTCATAAAGCACTACTAACAGTGTGAACATGATTACAGAACACAACTCACACATTGAACAAGTCTCACGGAAAACTACCCACTTATTGAACACGACTCACGAAGCACTTCTCACACAAGTAACTTGACTCGAAAAACACTACTAACACAGCGAACATGGGTCATGGAACACTAAAAACACGATGAACATGACTCGCGGAGCACCAATCACATAGTGAACATCACTCGCGATGCGCGATGCACAACTCACACAGCGAACTCCAACGATAACTTTAAATACTTCATTTAAGTACAGTTGGTCCAATGCAGATGATTCGCTTGCGGAAAGCTGTAGTTTTTACAACACTTAATAATCCTAATCCATTATTCTGTGATGACCCGCTAACTTCATTTTGTGAGAATCGGTCTGTACATTGTGTG